ATCCATTTATTCATTTTTCCCATGATAGCTTGGTCAGCTTTGAAAAGGACGGTCTCGATCTGTGAAAGAGTGTGTGTTAGTGTGTGTGTGTGTGTGTGTGTGTATATGTATGGGTTTGCTAAGAGGTTTTCTCCTGCTCTAGATGACATGTAACTTTGAAAACTGTCCTTCTGTGCCACATCTCAAATGAGATGGTAGACAGACCCTTTTCTATCAAAGCCTGCGTGCTCTCATGGAAACCTGCTACACACACACACACACACACACACACACACACACACACACACACACACACACACACACACACACACACACACACACACACACACACACACACACACACACAAAGTGATTTCACCCAAATATTCCTGGTCCACTTTCACACTCGTCTCTTGATCACTATGTTTAAAGAAACCCAGACTCACTACATTTGTCCGACTGAAAATATTGTTATCATCATCATTATGAAGGATTACCCATGATTTCACAGGCTGCAGATCCAACAAATCATTCAGTCTTTTATGTGGCATCCTTTTTAATGTCAAGATATGGGCTTTAATTTCATTATGATTATGAACAATGTCTCTCACTTTTCAGCCCAGCAGTTATTAGCTTGTGTGCGCTAGTGCACACTCCTGATCACCACAGCCTCTCGTCATGCTCATTCTGTTCCCTTGGCCTTTCAAACACACACACACACACACACACACACACACACACACACACACACACACACACACACACACACACACACACACACACACACACACACACACACACACACACACACACACACACACACTTCTATCTCTACTCTCTTTGCCAAAGTGTACCCTGCCTTTCTAGATATATTAGTTGTTTTTACAAAGCCATTTTTAGTCTAAGATACACACAAGCAAATCATAGGACTTTGATGCTCGCAGAAATGAACAGAGCTTCACTGTCAAAAATATATGTTTGAATTCATCAAAAAGCTCCAGAAATCAATGTAAAGCTGCGTCATTCATGTTTGAAGTGATGCTGCGTAGGTGCGTGTCCCTCATCTGAATGAAAGCACCCGTTTCTGCGAAGAAGAAAATGCATGCATATATTTAAGGGTTCAAAAATATTGGCTTGAATAACCTAAATATGATTTTAATTTCCAGACCTGTGTTAGGCCTTGATAAACACAGAAAGCATTACATCCTTTCTTGCCACCTGACACCACTCAAAGCTGAACCTGACTACCAGCAGTATCCAAATTGTGCAACATTATTTGGCATGACAAGAAGCACAACAGACATGTTTTTATGGAAATGTTGCAATCATCACAGGAACACAGGTAGTGTAGACAGATATTTGCAAAGCACCACTTGGAGACTGTGTCCATTCATTTTCCCTATTTTCATTTTCCTTTTCTCTTTTTTTTTCTGCACTGCAGGCTTCTTCCAAAACAGTGATGCCTCTGTTTTGGCATCCATGAATGAATGCAAAAAAATCACCAAAAGCGCCTTCAGAAATCATGCATGTTTATTTTTCTACCAATATCTGGAAATTGGCGACCTGTTATTGAGTGTCTGCAGGTGGTTTGATCCACATCAGAAGTGTTTTATTAAGAGCTTTATCTTCTCCTTTGGTGCTTTGTTTTGTTTGTATCTCAGATGTCAGAGGGCAGCTCCAGCAGGAACAGCAGCAGACGGAGCTTGTGCTTCCTGGCCTGTGTGCTGGGGTTTGAGGTGTTAAAATAATCAATGCTAAGGTCAGTTTCTAAAGATGTTTATTCAATCTCTGAGTCCAGCTTTAAGATTTGGGTGGTACCATCTTTTGCAGGAAAGTCTCCAGTCTTTTTTTTTGTTGATTACAAATTGCGACTAGCTCCTCAGCTCTAACATGATGACCATTTTCATCAAAATAAAATCACACTGAGCTCCTTTTGCTTTCTCACATCTCTGCAAATGTCTGACAAAAGCTCTACAGGACTTTTTCTACAAGCAATTAGTAATTGAGAGTGGCTTTGATGATCTCTCTGTCGTTGAAATTGCATTTGCACAAACACAAGCATGCTGCTATCAGCTTTTCTCCACAGTGAGCTGTAGCTTCCTAGGAGCCCGTGAACATTTCTGACATGCAGTTATCTCACAAGACATGGTTGGGAAATGGATTTTTCACAGATCTCAGGATGGAAATGACAAAGCGACAAATCAATTTTTGTTTTTGTTTATTGGAAAATTTGTCCCCTTTTTTCCGCTGTGACACTGACGCTGTATTTCTTCTTTAAAGCTGCAGATAGTGACGAGACTCTATTCATAAAAAAACTCTTGTCTTTAGAAATTTAACACTGAGGTGTAAAAACACGAAACGGTGTCAGGGGAAAGTGAGATTTTCAATAAATCAACAGTGAAATCAAAGGAAAACTGTAAAAGAGTTGATCGTGCCTGACAGCAGTTGGACTCGAGGTTTTTGAAGTATTACCTCTGCACTAAATATTGAATGTCTGAAAGCAATAATCTGCTGCATCCTAATTTTTCATGATTGAGGTATCTTTGTTGCTAAGCACCAGCTCTTTCAAACTGAAATGACCAGAAATCACTGCATCAGCCAACACCTGCAAAGAGGTGATAAATACATGATAAAATAATCATATTAGGGTGAAATCCAGAGCAACAGGTTACTGAGTTTTCTGACAAATGTTTCTCACTCTCACTCTACATCTCACTTTCTCTCTCTCTCTCTCTCACACACACACACACACACACACGCACACGCACACACACACACACACACACACACACACACACACACACACACACACACACACACACACACACACACACACACACACACACACACACACAGCATGTATGATATAAAGTCGAGTCCGTGCTACAGCACCTGCTTGACCCATCCCTCACTCTTTGCAGTCATCTTTGTCTCTCTCCCCAGTTTCTCCCTTACCTTTAAGAGTAATGAGAGCAGCAAATGTGGCAGATACAAAAACACTATCCTCAAACTCAAACTGGGGCCTCAATGACACCCATGCTCAAATGCTAAATTTTACATTGATACTAAAGATCTTTACAACCTGATACACAACCTTTTTTTCTTTTCCTAGTGGCACTTTTTTCTCTCTTGGAAACATCACACAGAGACTTTATTTTACATTGTACATCTTACAGCCAAAATTGATGCTAGCCCCTGCCTCTCTTTAAGCGGTCATCTCAATACAGGGAAATTACACAGTCCTCTAAAATTTAAATTTTTGCAATAAAAGAAAAAAAAAAAAAAAAAAAAGACAAGCAACCTCCAGTCTAGCCAAATGAAGTGAAGAAAACTGCAGTTCCCACATCATCTGCACTGGATATATAACTTAATTACTCATTGGTTTTGAAGAAGTCAGAATTATAATTAAGGGTCCGGCTGACTTGACTGACAGTTTGGCACAGTAACAACTAAGGGTTTAGGTGGAGTCCAGATTTCCAGTATGGGGACTCTGTTATTGGGCTTCAGAACTTGTCCTTGAAAACCAAGGGTTGACTTCAGTCATGGTTTATTCACTCCACATGAGAAGCTTGGGGCTAGCTTGATTCTCCACAAAAATCCTGTATCCACCAAAAAGAAGTACATAAGGGTATTGCATTCATTTCCTAAACAGAAAACAAAACAAAAAAGGAACCTGTTTTTGAGTATTTTTTTTTCTTTGCTGTTTTTCGGACAAATGTTTATTTTGTTTTTAGTACTATTTTTCTGATATTTTTTTCCTAACTAAACGAGATACTTCAGAATCCTGTGAAAATCTCATACAATCAGATAACGTTAACCACCGCGGCTGCTCCAAATTAGCGGATTCTCCAGCTTCCAGATGACTTTGACTACAGCGTCTGTTTTTAAAATGATCACGATCCCAAAGAATAGGAAAATTAATCAGTCTGAAAAACAAAACAAAACGAAAAGAAAAGAAAACAGTCTGAAAAACAGAAAAGGAAAAAAAAATACTTTTAAAAACAGGGAAAAAAATTAGTCTGAAGAACAGAACAGATTTTTTTTTTTTTTTTTTTTGGGGGGGGGGTTAATATGCCTCAGTATTACAGAATTAAAAGAAGAAAAAAAAAAATCTGAACTAAAGACAGCCTGGCGCTGTAATGCCACAATGTTTTTTTTTTTTTTTACCTCTACAGACATTGTTGATAACTTTTCCTGGATATCTAGGAAAAACCATAAAAGTTAAAGGGTGACCATAAAATCAGAAAATCACCTACAAGGTGGTACAAGGTACCACCTTAAAGCAGGTACCGTAATGATTTCTGATTTCTTTCTCTCCATGTTATATTCTTCAGTGACTTAAAAAGTGCTTTCTACACTAGTTATAACCGTGTTTAGTCAAATCAGAACTTCTAAACTTACATTAATGCAGGAGTAAAATTGACTAAATATTGAGTATAATCACCATCAGTGGCAAAGCATCTGTTGATTCAGTCATTGTGTCCTTTTTATTAATGGAGGCAGAGCAGAAACAAATCTGGGATGCAGTTTTTAAAATGGTCAAACTGTCTTGCTTCATTGTGAAAAGGTGTAGAAATGCTCTGATAGACGAGCCAGATGTCCCCTCCAGCTCCCCCGTGGAACAGCGAGCACACAGCTGAGCTTAAGGAAGCAAGAATGTGCGAAAAAATGAGAAAAGCCTCAGCCTATCTCCTTCTGGCCGAGTGGCTCTGCTCCGCTCTGCTCTCTCACTCTGCCCGCTCTTCTCTCTTTATTAAAAAGAAACACATGTAGTGTCGGAGCGTCCAAGTATGAAATTCAATTCTCATCCCCCAAACGGTATTTTTATTAAAGCTGTTACTATCACGGCGAGCAGGCGGGCTCGGCCTGCTCAGGCTGGCCTGGGTACGTACTGTACAAGGAGGGAGAAGACGGGGAGTATTAGGGAGAGTGAAAGCAGAGAGGAGGATGAATGAGAGACGGACAGCTGTGAGGAGGAGAGAGAGGGAGGAAACAGTGAGAATAAGGCAGCGAAGGATTGAGGCAGTCAGCAGCAAGGCGACAGAGGGGCTTAATTCGCCCATAAGGCAGTTCAGCCTCTTATGCAATTTAACCGGGACGTGCTTGACTTGAGCTCCGGTCTGCACCCCAGCACAGCCTGCTGCACAGAATCAATCGCACATGTATGCAAAGAATTACTCTGCAGACTTGTTTACTCTGTGTTTTATTATTTCCAGTACTGCTGTAAGAGCACTTTTATAACATTGTAACAGTATTCTCTTTGTGTCCAGAAGACCCAATTTGCCTGAGCAACACAGCGGGGGAAATGGCACACGGCTGCACAAGATAAACAGACAGCGAAATGCATTAGAAGATGCATCATACATTTCTCCTGAAACAGAAGCAATAATGGATTCAATGGACCTCTTTGTTGTGGAGCTTCCACGTTTGTTGTTACCGAAAAGGTACAAGCAGTGCTCCAGCACGGCAAAAATTTCCTACTTCCATAATACTGTTTTCATACTACCTGCACTTAACCAAGGAGCAGCAAAGTTAGGTCTTTCTTGCTCCATTATTTCATATTTCGTAATGTTTTTTGGCTGCCGATGGATGATTCTTGTGAGAAGAGTTTACTCAAGAGAAGAGCTCCTTTCTCTGAGATGGAGCAAATATGGACGACAACAGTCAGTTCCAGTGGACAAGTGGAGGTGTTTTAGTGGCTGCCGTTCTGGTGCACAAGTGAAGGCAAAGTTGAGGGCGAGGAAATGGAGATATAAGCCCATCAGCCATCAAAGAAAAAGTCAACTTCCTGCCCAACAAAAGTGACGAACTGGAGATATTGGTGAGTGGAGTCTCCTGTGTTTTACTGAAACCTGGTTTAATCAAAACAACTCAGACTCAAGAGAGGATCTACCTGGCTTCACTCTTATAAGGTCAGACAGAGATGCTCAAGCTAGTGGCAAGAAGAAAGGAGGAGGTCTGGCTTTATTTGTCAACCAGAGATGGTGTAACCCTTCACACATAACTGTCAAGGAGAAGTTGTGTTGTCCTGATATTGAACTGTTGGCAGTTGCTCTTCGGCCATATTATGTTCCAAAGGAGTTCAGTCATATTATAACAATACTTGTTTACATGTATTCTCCATGATACTGTTGCTAGGACAAAGAGTCAACATCCTAAGCCAAGTCGGAATTTCCGAGCTCCGAGTCAGAAATTAATTTGGAACGCCCCCCTGAAGTCAGATATCCGATTCGGAAAGATAGACGATCCTCACCAACGCCGGCTAGAGGACAACTTCATAATCCAAGATGGCAGCACAGTAAAACAGTAAAGAGTAACAGTGAAAGCTTAAGTAAGTGGTATATGTTGTACTGCCCAACGTCTAACTGTGAACACGGTGCTATGGTGTTTGTAGAGTAAAATACTGTGTTATGCATTGTTTACAACTGGTATAGCTAACAATGGCTAACAACAGCTAACAATGGCTAACAACAACTGACAACTGCTAACAACAACCGACAACTGTAAACAACAGCTAACAATGGCTAACAGTCGGCGTCCATCTTGGTTTTCCAACTTGTTTACTGGTATGCCGTCAACTTGGGTGTAATATCATTCCTAGCACCAACATTCGACTTCCGAGGTAACCTGAACGCAGCATAATACCAGGAGACTTCAGCCATGTCACCTTTTCCTCTCACCTGACTGGATTTACAAGGTTTGTTAACTTTACTACAAGAGAACATTTTTCATGAGATTCCAGGCAAATGAATTTCCCTTTAGGGATAAATAAGGTTCTAGTATTGTATTATATTGTATTTTAGGCCTGATTATGGCATCAATGTATTAGCTGGAGGCAAAAAAAAAAAAAAAAATACAGGCAAACACAAACTGCCTTAAGAGGATATTAGGAGGTAAGATAAAATAAAGTTCCTGTAGGTTAGATTTTTGTGTTGTTGGAGCTGAAACTAAAGGAGGTGGTAAAGATGCACACTTCATATACTATATATTTAAAGGAAATGATAGATGTATGTACATTAAGGGTTCTCATAACCCTAATCAGAGGGCATAAAGAGGATTAATGGATTCAGTGTTTCAGCACATATTTGGCCTCCAGGGGAAGAGAAGAGGATACAGCAGTGACACCAGAAATATTCACCACCATACAGGGCTGGTGGTCCACGTCAGTTTGACACATAATTACATTTCTGAAGAGGTGTATCTTAATGTTCTGGTTATGTAATTTCATTCTCTTACCACATTTTTAATGCCTTTGTGTGTCGAGACCAGAAAACAGTCCAACACTCAGCCGCTGTTAGATATTTCTGCTCTGAGTCTCCCTCTTCTCCTTCTCGACAGTAAATACACAGTTGGGGTCAGTTGACCCTGTCTGTGCCTCAGAGAAAACAACGCATTGTAGCTAAACTATTCTGACAGGCCTGCCCTTTTTACACATGAGGAAGATGAAGAAGGGAAGGCAGAACAGAGCGCTGAGTGGTCGAGGTTGGTGGTGAAGGGGAGGGTGGTGGGGGTCACGGGGGAACGATGCAAACAAGTGAAGAGGAAGCAAAGGAGGAGAGGAAGTGAAGAGAGGACAATAAGGGTCAGGAGGGGACTCAGAAACAAGTGGGGGCATGACTTTGAGGCTAGCTGTGTGTCTGGTTGGCTGGGTGATTCAGTAAGAGGCCGCGTCATTGGCTGGCTGTATCAAGGCTTGCAGACTGCATGGCTGACTGACTGGACTTCTAACCAACAGGCTGGATTGTTTATGTGGTAGGCAGCTGCATGGAGGGCTGACAGGGTGCTTGACGGGTGTAAAGGTTGGCAGGCCATCTCTGTGGATGGCTAGTTGGCTGTCTGTGCATTCATTATGCATCCTCTGTATCTGATGATGTGGGTCAGGCTCAGTTCTCTCCAGCTGGGGCAGCAGACAGGCTCTGCAGTGAGCAAGGCCCTTAAGCTACAGCCTGCAGCAATACAGAACAGGCTGCAGCATCAGCAGAATCCTAATATACTGTGGTTTAGCATTTTCCATTCACTTCAATTCAATTCAGGTTTTATCGAACATTAGCAAACACACTCTGCTTGTTTGGACCTTATATACACAGATCACCTCCTACAGAAATATTTGAATTCATAGGAGTGAGTCAATCTTTCTGGGGATGATTTTGGCCAATGTCTTGTTTTGCTGAGACCTGAATAACAACATTGATTCAACTCTGACACCTAAACAGTAAATATAAAGCTACAGCAAGCAGCTGGTCTGCTTAACACAGCATAAAGGTTTTACACTAGGCAAAACAGCTGACATGGTTCCTGCTAAAGACAACCAAGACAACAAGTAGAAACACACACCAAGAGAAATGCCCCTCCAAAAACAGGCTGTCTCATAGCCCAGAGAAAGGACAATGCAGCTTGTAATAATACTGTTGGTGTCTTGCGCACCCTGTCGGGATTCTAATCTACATAATCATCTGCTCATTACCTGGCTACTAACTAAAGATGCAAATACAAAATACTGGAGAGGATGAATGTTTACAGATTAAAAATGAGTCCCTCTGCTCCCATGGCAACAGACAATGATCAGCCTCCTTGTAAGGAGAATTAACAATAAACCAAAACTGAACATCTGATTCATCATAATTCACATAATTTTTGCTGCCGTTAGCATCCTAGAGTTGCTTTGACTGGCTCTGCTGCAGTTGTCTGGATTGCAGGGCAGGATGTAGCCCCACTTTTCTTTATCAGAGATGGTTAGGACCCAGTAGCCCTCCTGACTGGTCTCACATCTATGTCCCTGCCCCTCAATTCAGGATTTACTTTTGTCATGAGACTTGACCAATCAGAGTCAAGTAATTAACACAGCCAATAAAAAATGAAGCATCATGACATAACAGTTGTTGCTGTTAAATCTGAACCCCTTCACAATGACTCATTTGGCTGATACAGTGTGCGGTTAGTAATATCAGACTGCTTTGGTGATGTTTGTCCAAGACATTAATGCATGATGAATAATTTTTAAGCTGAGAGGTCAAAACAACTCTGATTGAGACCTGTCGGTCCAAATCAGTTTTGATGAGATCCGTCATCCTTATGTAACAGTCCTGACCCAATGAGGAAGACTGCCCTTGTTGCTCTCTTTCTCCTCAGTTTGACTCTTACACTTTAGGGGATCTAAATTTGAAACTATACAACTGTGCTAAAGAAAGACAGCAAGCAGCATCAGATCAGTGTTAGACGAGTTTTTGCAAATGCAGCTGATACACCAAAAGAGAAAGTCCTGGAGGAGTTAATGAGCAGGTTATGGAAAAGAATATGTGGCTTTGCAAAGTTGAAAGCTTCCCAATTTAATTTGTTTTTTTTCTGTGGTGCAAACTTCAGGGGAGGGATAAAACAGTGTGTCGCTGGCAGAGACACAACCAAAAGCACCACAATCATTCATTTCAGCAAAATAAAGACTTCCCTCGAAGACAGCCTTGCAATTTCCACCAAGGTTGGACAAATTTCTTCTCTGTAAGACACCACCAGGACTATTCAACCACAAGCTGTGCAAAACAACATGCTAGATGGACTCTTTCCACACACTGAAAAACACAACTTCAACCACAAGGCTACCGCACAGCTGTGGGGCCAGGGTGGCTGAGGCTCAGGGGGTGGAGTGGGTCATCTATTAAGAGCACGGTTGGAAGTTTGATTCTTTCCACCTCCTGTTTGTATCTTAAGTGTCCTTCAGCAGAAGGCTGAAGTCCAGTGGTGGGTCAATGCATTGCACGGCAGCTCTGCAGCTCTTAGTGTTGATCTCTGGCTACTTGCAAATGCATGCTGGAATTATAAATAGTTAAACGCATGATTCATGGGATCAGAGGTGTCGTGTTTCCCTGTTTTTGGTCAGGGTTGTGGGCATGAGCGTCTATACGGTCCAAGGACAGTTCATTAACAAAAAGAATGGTAGTGTGATTGGATTGGATCCCCTCCTCTGCAAGTGAGGAAAATATTGACTTTTGTAAAACTTTATCAAATAAGTTCAGGGCCGTTTTACATGGACTGTCTATAAAGAATGGATGCCGTCTGCCTCCTCACTGGGTAAAGCCACCACGAGAACAGCTCCCTCTGGTGATGGGCTGCAGCTTAGGTCATAAATCCCGCCTCCTCCAGCACTCCCAATGGAGCTGTAGACAAACTTTAGCAATTAATACAGATCATAAAATTTTTCTCCCCCCTGCTTGTGATGTAGACAAGTAGTCACAGTAAGACTGGTTTATGCTCAAGTCCTCTTTTTTTCTGTCCAGCTCCATTTTAAAAGTTATTAGGGGGTTCATGTTTTCTTTGATTGACACTTGATACAGCCTATGGGCGTACGAAGATTGCATAGCTCACCCCGGGGATACGCTTTTTGAGCCAAGCGTCATCACAGCAACTC